CGAGCTGGAGCAGCAGAGGAACAGAGCTCGTCTTCATGGGCTCCAGCAAGCCGATCACTCCGTTGTTATCCTGAGGGAAGAGAGAGCCACAGGGATGAGCCACAGGAGCAGCAGCCACCGGCAGAGCTTGCAGCACCAGGGGGATCAGCGTACCCGGAAGGAGCCCCAGACAAAGACCCGGCCATCCTCCGTCAGCGCGGCCGTGTGGCTGTCCCCCGCCGACACCTGCACCACCTTCTCCTGCAGCTCCACCAGCCCCGGAGAGCTCTCAGACCCTTCAGCCGAGGTGTCGCGTCCCAGGGCACCTTCATCATTGCAGCCAAAGGTGTAGATCTGCAGATTTTGTGTAAGTGGTCAGGATGGAGCTCAGAGGGGCAACAGGCTGAGTATGGAGCCAGGGGACAGAGACTCACGAGACGGAATTATTATAGAAGCATGGAATGCTTTGGGTTGGAAGGAACCTTAAAGTTCTTAGATGAGGTTGCTCCTCATTAGATGAGGTTGCTCTAAACCCTGTCCAGCCTGGGCTGGAATACTTCCAGCAATGAGGCAGCCACAGCTTCTCTGTACCAGGGAAGAACTGTACCCTGACAGGGAAGAACTTCCCAGTACCACATCTAAAATAGCAGTGTCACCCATCTACTCTCTGTCAGTGGGAAGCCATTTCCCCCTGACCTATCACTCCATGCTCTTGTCCTAAGTCCCTCTCCAATTTTCTCGCAGGCCCCTTTCACATCGTCCTTTTGACCCCCTAAAATTCTGTGGCCCATGTGAGACCATGCTCACCCCTAGAGCTGAAACAAGATGTGGGCAGAGCAGTGGCTGATTCCTACCCCCTGCTCCAGAACACATCCCAGAAACCCACTGCACTTACCTTTCCAGTCTGGCTGAGGCACACTGTGTGCATGCCTCCAGCTTCCACCTGCACCACCATCTCCGGCAGCGTGACCAGAGCTGGCTTCTTCCTCTCCATGATGTCTTCACCCAGACCCAGCTGGCCAACGTTTCCCTGGCCCAGGGTCAACACCAGCCCAGGCTGTGAGCGATGTGACGGGTGGCTGACTGCGGGGTGGGAGGGGGAGAAAGAACACATTGGGGTACAAGTTTCCTGGTGAGAATCACCCCTGGCAAAGTGGAAGGAAAACTCCAAGGGATTTCTTACCTTTAACCTTTTTCGTCTCAGTAGATTCTTCTGACACCAGGACCTTCATTCTGCGTTTTCCTGACATCTTGGAATCTAAATGCCAAAAAAGAGCCGACGTTACCCTGACCCAGGCTATGAGTGGTGTGATGGGTGGCTGACTGCAGGGTGGGAGGGGGAGAAAGAACTTGGGGAACAAGTTTCTAGGTGAAAATCACCCCTGGGATAGTGGGAGAAAAATTCCAAGGGCTTTTTCTTACCTTTAACCTTTTTCGTCTCAGTAGACTCTTCTTCTGGCACCAGGATCTGCTCTCTGCGTCTTCCTGGCATCCTGGAATCTAAATGACAAAAAGAGCCTGTAAGGAGTCACCCACCCGGTGAACCGGGTTGTTCACTGTTTTTTCACTCTAAAAAACCACCTGAGGGACTGGTGACTGAGTTGGGATTTGAACACTGATCCCTTCTCCTGCTCTGGGAAAACAGAGCTTTCCCTTGTGCGTTTCATCCGTGCTCCCTACTGCATGCACATGTGAAGATTTCAGGTCCAGGCAGGCAAGGAGCGAGGGAAGGGGAAAAGAAAGGAGAAGGAAAACGAGAAGGGAGGAAAAGGGAAGAATGGAAGCCAAGCCGTACGTGCATCCTCACCCCCTCCCGGTTCCGCGTGGCCCGAGACCGCCCCCGCCCCTTCCCGCCGTTCGAATTCCCCGCGGCGCCGCCTCACGTGGGGCCGCGCCATTCTCTGCGCATGCGCGCGCGCGCTCCCGGCGGCGCCGCGCCCCCTGCCGGCCGGCGGCCCCGCCCGCCAGGTCACCCCGCGGGACGGACGGACAGACGGACGGACGCAGTGAGGACTGGTGGGGCAGGACAACGGGACAAAGAGCACACAAGGACAGGCGGTACAAGGCAGGGCTCGCGGTTGGCAATACACTGGCCCCCGGACAATAAATCCGTGTCACTAACTGATGCTGCTTCTAACCGGCAGGGACGCCTCCAGCCTGCGAGGCCGCAGCCGGCCGTGATGGAACGGAGTTGCTGCAAAAAAATGGCAATTAAACCAGCAGAACAACGATAAGGACGGAGTATTGAAATCCAGAACGTCTGAGATACCATCTCGTCCAGCAACTTACCGCTGCTCAAAGCACAAAATATACTTTTAACTATTGAAACTGGAACGAGACCAAATTTATCAGGTTAATGGGAAGACACCAAACTTTTGAGTTTCCCCATTCATGCAATGTAATTACCCTTATTCCAGTGGTTAATTCTGCTGTTCCAGTAGAGAGGCCTCCATTTGTCCATACCACCTTTTACTTCAAGATCATGAACCTAGCTAATATCTTGGCTGGTACACCAGCCTCCTCTGCTTATGCAGACTGTCATCCCAGGGGTCACCCACAGCCCATGGAAAACCCTCGAGAGGCATCACCAAGGAGCATTTATCCCAGGCTCACGCTGTTGATACAGACCCAGTCCCTGATCCTTTCCCGGGGCACTCAGGGCCAAGGACACCCTGCAAACTGCTGCAGGTTCATCCGCCTTCCCCTACACCCAGCCACCAGCGACACTCTGGGCAAGGGCAATGTGTGACTCCCTCCCTTTTTCCCCTAAACCCACACCCCGGGCTAACAGACTCCATCAAGCCCTTGATGGTATGAAGGTTTTAGATGACCCAAACCTGGACTGAAGGCAGGACTGCTCCCAATCCAGCCCTAACAGCGTGCCACAGAGCATTTTCTGCACACTTTATTTTCGAGACGGGTCAGCAGCAAACAGGAACTGCACTTCCACACAAAGAAGCACCACCCAGAGCATGAAGTTTTCCTTCATATTCACTCACCAAAAACACACACCAAGCCAAAGCCAAGTTCAGTTTATTGAGTCGTCTACTGTAGACGGGTACAGATTCAGACATGGACACGAGAGTGAGAGCTGCATTTCAGGGCCTGAACACACACCCCCATCCCATATATAATCCACCCTCCTTCTGCATCACCTTCCTTGTAACATCCGGGCCCCAGAAGGTCGAATCGATGTGAAAGTTGTGTAGTGTAGTTCACAGGAGAGCACACGCCTAGTTTACTTATCCCTCATGCCTCCCTCCACCCCCTTCCCCAGTCTGAAGCACCCCAAAAGCAGCTCTTTGAACTCCTCACCGCATTCTTTCCTTCCCGAGCAGCTTACCCACAACGTGTGCAACTCCAGGCCCTGCTCTGCAAATGCCAGGAGCACCCATCCCACCAAGGGACCAGGGCCACGCGTGGTTGTTTTTCGTGCTCCAAGCACGTGCTCTAGAAGACCCCTGAATTCACGCACCCCTGCTTCTATCGCATTTTGCTTTCTGTGACTACATTTTATTACACCTACTGCAGTAACAGGAGTCGGGCACCCACCTAACTTGGGGAGACCCTTTAATATACTCACCCTCTCCCACACTAAAGGCGGATTTTTCTTTATTCCTTCACCTCAGCAGTTCCTGCATTTTAGGAAGAAGAAAGGCGTTTTTTTCTGCTTTCTTCTTTGTCCCACAATGCATCAATTTCAGTACACATGTATCTCCAGATTTTTTTTTTCTGTCTGCCAGTACTCATGACCGGTTTTTTCCCCCTGTAAGACTCAGGAATTTCTTTTCCCCATCTATCCAAAATCGAACACAATCGACAAAGCTAGGAGCCTGCGATCTGAACTTGCATTACTACCACCTATATGGTCCGGATTGGAATTTTATCACTAAGCCGACCCAATTATTCTACAAACATCATTGAAACGACACAGTGTATTACATTTTAAACAGATGTATTACCTTCAAGAATCGTGTTTTACTTCAGGTTTTTCAACCTTGGTACTGGAAAGAAAAAAAAAAGGAATTTAAGGATTTACTCAGGAGACTATGTCTTTGTTTCTCCCTCCCAGCCCCGCACGCGCTCCCCGTCCCAGCCCGCGTGCCAGTGTTTCCTGCATGGTTTGTCTCCTCTGTAACGGCCCCAGGGCTCAGAGAAGCAGTAGGAATATGCAGGCTGCAGGCTCGGGGCCCGGCTTGTTCTCCAACGTCGTGGAACGGGACTATACGTCATGGGCCCGAAGGCCTGCGCTCCCATGCGCCACACGGACAGAGCCAAGAGAGAGCGACTTCTCCGGATATCCACGTTGGACCTTTGTTTTAATGATTTATAACCGCCTTGACCGTCCCCAGGCTCCCGCTCGTCCCAGCGCCAACCACGCGGCGGGGCCACACCAAAGATACTCACGGTGGAGGAGCAGGCTGGACAAAGCAAGCTTTAACGGGCTTTCGTGGAACCTGCAGCGAAAGGAAATGGCCTTGAGGGGCGGCTGAGGGGGCGCGGGGTGACTCCGCAGCGCCCACAGCCACGTGTAAATCACGGTGCATCCTAGCGTTAATGCGGGGATGGAGCGGGCATCCTCTGGCACAGTAGTGCTGCGGGGCCAACAGGAGCTCACGCCATAACAACACAAAGGGTTTAAAGGATAAAAAGGTTAAAAGAGAAGCGAACCTTACCTGCTAAGCTCCCGCTCCTCACGGGGAAAGAGGCCGAACCACGCCGCGAGGCGATTTTTATAGGGCGCGGGGGCGGGGCTGAAATGCGCGCGTGCGTCCCGCGCGAGGGGCAGGGATAAACCGTATATGGGCATCGGCGGCGGGGCCAAGCCCCGGCGGAAAGGGCCGGGCCAGCCGCGCCTGCGCAATGGCTGGGTGGGCGGTTAGCACATGCGCAGTCGAAAAGCCGCCGCCTGAGGGGAGGCGCGGCCATGGCGGAGCGCCCTCAGCGCCTCAGGAGCCGCCGGTCGGGCTCCGACTGAAATCGGTTGGAAAGACACGACCCACACACAAGCAGGGTTTAAGAAAAAAGTTCTAAAATACTTTTATTTAATAATTAAAATCTGTTGTTGCGGAGACTGATATACAATGTAATGGCGGCTGTACAGGGGATGCCGTGAGGGAAGAGCCCCAGCAGATGCCGGGCCACGGCCGGCGTGTTGCCACACTGGTCTGTGAACAAGACAAAGTTCTCTCCCTCCCGCCCCCCCTTCCCCACCCCAAACCCCCGCACAAGTGGCATCTCACAGATCGTTTAGTTTTGTGCATAATACAGCAGTGGACCTACCAGATTTTTTTTATTAACCCGCATTGAGGAAGAATTTCTCTCTCAGAAGAGAAATACCATTTTTAAGGTCACTTTTTAAACCTTTTCTTCCCCTCCTTTTGACCCACACAGTGAAACGATCAAGATTCCAGTAGGTTTAGCTGTAAAAATGAGAAAAAGGCAAGCTTCAACCCTGATTTGGGAGAGTAAAAAACATTTGAGAGAAAGCCACGATAAAAAGGACTGACTACTCTCACAGTTTCCCCAAATTAAAAAGTTTTAAAAAGGCAACAGTCATTTTTCCTGGTTCTATAATTTGTTAAACAAGCCTAAATATCTCAAGATCTGTTATTAAGATCACAGCAAGTGTGAGAGAGTGCAGAGCATTTATACATATGTTGTTGTTTTTTTTCTTTTCTCTTTTTTTTAACAAAAAGATGCAGCATATGTTAATATCTACACAGTTCCCTTCCAGGACAACAAACCGTTGGTCAGTAGTGATTCAGGGCATTAAGGACATGACAAAAAAGCAAAACCCCCAAAAATTGCAAGTGCCATGTCAGTTGTCTGCCAGGGTTCTCTGTACACAGCTAATATACACACAGATGCTTCTGAGGACATGCTCTCCTCAGCTTCCCAACACTAGAGCTGCCTTTGTTTCTCATCTCCCTTCCTCAGGGAAAGGAGGAGGAAATGAGGAATTGCACTCCCCAGGACAAGTCTGTACAAGCTGGGAAGGAAGGAAGGAAGGGGTCGCTCCCCTGGGCACGGTCTCCTGGCAGAGTCATACTGCTGAGCCACACGAGGTATAGTGTCAGTTCCAGCCTGATGGCATCAGAGATGTGTTTGTTCCAGTGAAATGCTACATTCAGACAGGATTCCCCTTCCCTGGCCGAAAAGCCCTTTCTGGATATGTTTGGAAGGCAAATCTTGGAAGAGCTGAGGTTCCACCCTCACTGTATTGCTTAGGAGAGGGATGCAGAGAACGTCCAGCTCTTGCGGGTTTCTTGCTCCCTCCTTGGAATATTATGGTCGATGGTATCTGAAAGCCAAGTGAAAAATCTGAGTGTTAGCCTTGGAACTCAAGGTTAGATGGTTACTTAGGCACTACAGATGGCCAGAGAGTAAACTGAATTATCTCGGAACTCTCAGCCCTCAGGGACACTGTGAACATCATATAATTTCACCTCCTGTGCTCTGCACTCAACTTTGCCACACAGAGCAGGAAGGAAAGGAATCACTCGATCCAGGCCTGACTACACAGATTACATCCAAGGTAACTCATTAGCAAGTTGTTCTGTGACTGCACATCTCCAGCCTCAGAAAAGCTCACCCCACCTGCAGCTTCACAGAGTTTCCGATACATCTCAAACAAGAGACTGGTCACTGAGCCTCCAGGATGGAAGCCCCAGTTTAAGGAAAAACAACCCACTTAGTGTCTGCTGCTGCTCCAGCCTCCCCCCAGGACTGAGACAGACAGGGACATTCAATCTCCAACTTAATTTTTCTAAGGCTTTAGTGTTGTGCCACTGAGCCTGTCCTTGCAGCACAGCTCTGACAGCTCCATCAGGACTTAGGCTAAAACACATTCTCACCTCGTGAACTGCTTGCTCTCCTCATGCACTTCCATTTCACAGCTCTTAAACTCATTCAGCTCCTTCCTGATGGCTGCCTGCACAGAGAGGAAGAATTTTTTGTAAAGAAAAGGGCTCAGATTGCAGCAGCCAGCCCAGTTTTCACAGTCCATTAACACCAAACTGAATTTAATCTGCCCCTCCCCGAGGAGGGCTGGGCAGTGCCCAGAGGCGGCCTGGGAGGACAAGGACAGATAATTTCCTGCCAGTTTCTTGAGCCTGCAGGGAACTGCACTGCTATGACCAATACTCGGTATCCTTGCTGTGTCGAGAAAAGACAATGGGGCTGGGGAAGGGTGTGGAGCACCAAGAGCAGCTGGTCTGAGAAGGCTCAGGGGGCATCTTCTCACTCTCTACAAGTCCCTCCCTGACAGGAGGGTCAAGACAGCTGGGGGTTGGTCGCTTCTCCAGGTAAGAAGTGACAGAACAAGGGGAAACTGCCTCAGGTTGAGCCAGAGGAAGTTTAGATGAGACACAAGGAAAAATTTCTCCATAGAAAGGGCTGTAGTAGAATCAGCATCCCAGGAACTGTTCAAAAATATGCAGACGGGGCACCTGGGGACACGGTCTACTGGTGAGCATGGTGGTGCTGGGTAAACAGTTGGACTCCATCATCTTCAAAGGGCTTTTCCAGCCTTAACAATGCCATGATTTTATGATGCTTACATCACTCAGAAGCTGAGGCAGAAGCCATGCAGGCTTTCAGACTGTGCCCACCTGGGCTCCACCTTGCCACGAGGCAGCAGGAAGCAGAGCTGGGACAGCACATGCGAGTGAAGGCACACAGGTGGGGTGGCAGAGGGAAAGATGAAGAAGTGAAGCCAGAGGAACAGAGCAAATCTCCTTGGCTCACAGCTGTTTGTGTGGGCCACCCTGGTCTGGCTCCTCTTCCCATCTGGGGACAGGACACTCTCAGTTACCTTGTCAGCTGGGGTCAACTTTGTCCATGGCTTATCTGCTCGCCGGTCATAGTCTTGAGCGTCTGTTACTTCCACATATTCATTAAACCTCAGGATCTTCCTGGCCTGCAGCTCTGCCACTGTAGGCCTCTGGCTAAGCTGAACACCAGGAAAAACAAAGGAGGTTAGTCTGAGCTTTGTCCAGAAAGCAGATCCAGGACTAAGCGCCCCAAGCAAAACTAAAACTAGTTCCCTCACTGTGCCTTAAGCACAAACACTACCAGGTCCTGCCTGCAGCTTGCAAGGGCAGGCTTCCAAAGAGGTAAACCTCTTACAGACTTGATACTCCTACTGGGCTCACAAAGCCAGGCTAGGGCAGAACCTGGGCCACACTCTCATGGAGAAGGACACTGAGGGGTGTGGGAACAGCTGCTAAAAGGGTGAGCCCTGCACAACACCACTAAACACAGCTTCAGCAATGGCAGTACTCACACTTCACACCCACAGGCTTTGGGGAAGCTTTTCCCAGCCATGAGCAACAATCTCAAGTAACTTGGATGTAACAGCTAAAAGCAGCTGTTACTTTGCTCAGCTCCCACACTGCTGTTACTTTAGAAATGGATTTTAGGGAGCCTGGTGTGAAGTGGTGGCTGCTGAAGCACTGTGTTAAAGCAGCCAGGCCAGCAAACCTGTAAAGTATCAGGTGCCAAATTTAGTTCTCATCTCGCTTGTTACACTAGCTGCCAGTTCAGATCTGTCACTGACAAAAACACGGCCCTGGTGCCAATGGCTCACCGTGGGTGACAGTCCACATTCCAAAGTCACTGCAGTCCGAGGGCACTGGGGACACTTACACAAGAGCCCTGTGACTCGCCCTCAGCACGGCCCCTACAGCGTGCCCAGTGCCACCGTGCCCGGCGGCCCTGCCAGGTGCTGTCACCGCGGGAGCCCGCAGTACCTTTCTGGTGAGCCGGCGCTTGATCTCGCGCTTCTCTGCTTGACGGTCAGCTTCGTTCTTCGCTGCCAAGAGGGAAAAAAACATTTTTCATGTAAGCATCAGGCTTTGAAAAGTGCTTTCTAGGCTTGAACAAAAGACGGTATTGAGCTGGATCAGATTATCTACAGATCTAAAGCCTTAGGACAGGCAGAGAGTGCAGTACAACTCAATACCCTGTGTCACCTCCTGAACTGGCAGGGGCAACATGCCCCTTACACATTCACCTCAACAATTAATGGCCATATCACCAAAATGCATCCAAGCCACTGTGCAGCTTGCTCCTTCACAAAGTTATTATAGTTTAAAAGAAAATAATAGCACAGATAAATATTTTAAATGGTAACTTCCTGAACTGACATTCCCATTTCCTCGAGATGTTTATTTAAAACTTTTGCAGAACAAGATATGGCCAAGAGAAACAGTCCTGACTTTGTGATGCACTGCTGCTTTAGAGATCATGAAGGCAACGCTGTAATGTCTGGAACACAGAAGTCCAGCCCAAACAAAAACACCTTTCACAGTCCTTGCTGTGTAACAGCAGAGTCTGAACCAGCCCACACACTCTTTTCTGAGGTGGCAGGCATGGGACAGCTATGCCATAATCATATGATCCCAGAATGGGTTGGGCTGGAAGTGACCTCAGTGATCACCCAGTCCCAACCCCTGCCAAGGGCAGAGACACCTTCCACCCTCCCAGGTTGCTCCAAGCCCTGTCCAGCCCAGCCTTGGACACTTCCAGAGATGGGGCAGCCAGAGCTTCTCTGGGCAACTTGTGCCAAGGGCCTCACCACCCTCACAGGGAAGAATTTGTTCCTAACATGTAATCTAAATCTCTTTCAATTTAAAACCATCCCCACCTGATACATTAAGATGTTAAAGGCAAACTTATGGTATTTCTCAGGACCACCAGACAAATGCTACTCACGCTGAAGAATGTTCCTCTGTTCCAGTTCTTCTGCAGTTGGTCTCTGACTCAGTCGCCTGAAGAGAAGTGTAACAAGTACAGAATGTTGTATCTGGTCACTCATCAGTAGCAGATGAAGGATAAAACTGCCTGGTTTCAGTGCACTAGCCTCCTCCATACTCCTCACTCACCACTGAGGACCACTGCTGCCCTGTTTTACACTATGCTCTTGTCAAACACCTGCTCAGCCTCAGGTGCAGCTTTGGGAAGGGCTATGGGCTCTCCAGCTCAGAACCTTGCAAGGAGTTCAGACAGCAGATCCTGGACTGCCACCAGTCCCAGCTTCGTCCACCACCAGCACCCACCCTGCATCCATCCACACCTTTTTTATCCACACCTGTGTTTTACATGTCTGTAATCCTTGAGATTTTCCCCTTTCAGTCCATCTGACCTCTGGAAACCGGGGCCTGTCAGGGGGATATTGTCCAACTCCCAGAAGAACTCCCAACTTTTCTAACGAATGAGGAACAGCAACGCAACCTCCCAGCTCCAGCTGCTGTGCCCAACCATCCACCCTATTCCAGCACAAGCTGTTCGGACAAGGCACCAGCTTTGTCCAACCCCACTCCGCACACACTGATCATTATCTGCACCTGATCAGCGTTGTCCCAATCTGCTGACGGATTTCATTCCACTCCTCCTTGCTCTTCCGAGGGAAGATGATCTTCTCCTCCTGTGGTGCGGTTGTGCTCCCCAGCTTTATAGCGAGCGTGTCTTTCCTCTTCACTTTGTTGGCCAGCGTGCCTGTGGAGAGGGAGAGCGACAGGATGCAGCTCAAGGCTACTGAGCCTGCCACAGCAATCCCAGCCCTGTGCCCCTGGGAGCTGTGCTCTCCCTGAGGCAGAGCTGTCCTCTCTCCTTGCTCTTCCCAAGCTTGGCACTCACTGCACAGCAGCAGCAGCCAGCACTTTTTCTGTGACACCATGCTGTCCTACCTGAGGGGCTGGGACAGCACAGGCTGTCACAGGAGCCATCTGCAACTGAAAGGGTGCACTCAGCAGGTGACTGCACAGCTTTGGCTGCAGAGCCTTGGAAAAAGCAAGGCAGAGGACATGTGCCACATCATGCAACCAAGAATGAGCTGCTTTGAGGCGCTGTGGGAACCAGTGCTTTGATCCAGTTCTCAGTGCAGCCAGGCACGAGTTCAGCAGAGCAACAAAAATGACAGCTGCAATGTCAAAGCCTTACTGTTATGGCTTTCATCTTCTTCCTCATCCTCATCATCTTTATACAGGATGGGCCCCTCCGAGTCAGAGTCACTCATCCCTTCGTCTCCTTCCTGCTCCTCCGGGAGGACCTGGGGTACCAGTTTGGGGATGACTGTGACAGATGGCACATCTCCAATATACACACGAGGACCTGAATTCTGTTCCTCTTCCTGGTCATCATCTTCCTCTTCCTCATCGTCTGGACTAACGAGAAGCACGCTATTACACTTCTGAACACTTGGCACAGGGCCTGCAGAATACCCCCAGAATACATGCACCCTTAGCTCTCCCCAGGGAAGCCCAGAAACCAGAGGTGCAAGAGCCACGGCAGGATCCTGCACCGTCCCCTCTCTTCAAAGCACAGGGAGCTCTGGCCAAGGAAATGGCAGAGGCAGGTTCTGCAGAACCAAACTGCCCCCTGACCCCACTACTTCTGTGACTTGGAGATTCAGCTCTGCTATAACACAAGACAGTTCTTTTCCCACTTATACAGCAAAATGGAAGGCTAAGGAAGGCCACAGATGGATGGAATCTGGGACCTTGTTTGGTATTGGTGCAGTTGTAGACAATCCCAGCCTGAATTCCTGGCATCAGCCTGTGTTTGTAGTCTGGAACCCATTTGCCTTTGTGAGCAATAAAATCCCAAAGCCAGGGGTAATTTAATGGGGAAGATGCTCTGGCTCTTAAGAGCCTGAAACACAGATTTGGCCAACAGGGAAAATGGTTTCAGCAGAGACCTAAGCCCTGCCCAGAGCTGTCCCCATCATCATAGCACTGCAGGAGCTGGGAGAGCAGGCACACCTACAAGGAGGTACTCACACTTTGAGCATCTCAATGGTGACAGGCAGGGACCTCGTCCTGCCGAGGGTGCCATTGTCTTCTCCAAAACCATCGTTCTCAAAGAGCAATGAGTGAGCCCTGTGGGAGCCCTCGGGAGGTGGGGTGACAGGCAGAGGGCTGGCCAGAGCCTGCTGGATACGAATGTGCAGTGGGATTTGGGGCAGGCGAGGCAGCACGTGGGGTTCACCAAACCCTTGTTCTGCTGTCCTCTTCGATGCTTCCATGGACCTGAAGTCTTCAGGAAGAGGAGGAGGAGTCTCCTTGGTCAGGTCCAGGGAGCACGGCGGGTCTAGGACAGGGGTGGAGGTGGGCAGGGCCACACGTGGAGGGTCAGGGGGTACGTGGGTGGGCAGCGGCGGCGAGGGCGAGGGCGGTGGGTAAGCGGAGGTCACGTGCAGTGGAATCGGTGCAGGGCGACTCGCTGTCACTGTCCTGTCATTTGGGGGCTTAGAGGTGACAGCCTCTGACGTGTTGTTAGGCAGGAGGCCTCTCTTTGGAGGGAGAGGAGGGGAAGGCTTGGACAAGGCTGTACCACTGGTCATTACTTGGGAAAGTTCAGCTGAAAACAAAAACCACAAAAGCCACAATGTTAACAGGGTATTTTCCAAATAACCTCCACCAGTGTGGAAAAAGCACAGCGGCTGAGACCTGCCACATTATTTCCCTGGAGTGGGTGACAGTGACACATGGCTGCTCCCAGAACAGAGCTGGGGGAATCTGCAGTGCAGACACCACGAGAGGGTGCTGTAAGTGGGAGTGTTTCCCAAGATAAGGCCACATAACTGGAGAGAGGTGGGCACATTTGTGAGATGCTTAGCATTTTTAGACTTTCCCCTTGTAGATTAAGGGCCAGATTGCGCAAAACACAGTGTCCTCAGCTCCCGCCCAAGGGACTCCTGTGTCTCCTGAGCAGCACTTCAAGGCTGGCAGGACCAGGCTTAAGGCACCTCTGGGTAAGAGCAAAATCTGAAAGGGAGCGAGCAGCTGGCAGAAGAAAGCTGCTGCATGAGACACCAGAACTGCTCAGGGAATGAGCATCTTGGGGACAGACAAAGGGGTGACCTGCACAGTAACTCCCTCCCAAGCCTCAGGCTGTAACAGTGGCACAGAGGACACCCCTGCAGTCAGAGCAGGCACCAAAGACCCGTGGAGGGCTCACAAAGCCAAGTCCACTCCTGCTGTTCAACAACAGTGACAACACAAGGCTCAAAGCAACACCACAGCGCCAGTTCCATTGTGCCAGACTAGAGAGCTGTGGAGCCTCCTCTACATCTGCATTCATACCCAGGGGACAAGAGAGAACTGCTGGTTCTCTCCTCCCCTGCACACCCCACAGCTGCTCCCAGCCCATGCTGGCGGGCAGAGGCAGGATGGCTCTAAACACGTTGGATACACTGCTGTTTCCAGCCACATTTTTTGTTCCACAAGTACCTCCTCCAATTAGAGCTGGGGTATTTCAAATGCCACCTGCAGTGTGTGCAAGCAGCTTAAAGAAAACAAGAAGGTATTTCATGGAGTGCTCAAGCATGGTCAGGCTAATCAAGCTGGTCTGGCACAGGGGGGTTGTTAATACCATACCAAGGTCACTTGCAAAACCTGCCAGAGCAAGGTGAGCCCCAAGCAGAGCAGAGCAATCTGTCCACACTGAAAGCAGCGGCCCAGGCTATTTGGCAACTTGCACATCCAGCACTGCCTCTCAAACCACACCTGGGTAACACCTCCAGTTTCTGTGATAACAGTGCAAACTGTCAGACTGATCTTCCCAGGAGCCTCCCTCGTGGTCTGTGCTAACCTCTACCCTGTCCAAAGACTAGGAGGTGTCTGTGAAAGAACTGCTTGAAATGCCAACAGGCCATCGCTGCATGGAAGTCATATCAACTCTCAAAATTGCATCTTTAAGATCCCCAGAACTCCCACAGAGAACAGAGATTAAATGAGCTTTAAGAAACTCTCACCAAATCTTCTGCTTAGAAAAATTACAGAGATAAAAACATTTAATTCTCTAAATGGGAAGATTCAGTTCAAACTACAGCTGGGCTGATTTATCCATGGGACAAGACTCATATGTCACTAGCCCAGCCAGAGACCTTAAAGGAGGTGCCTGAGTATAACCAGGGAAATCTGAATTATTCCTACCAGCTCCTGGTCTCTGCCCTAAGTGGAAACCACATGGCCTGGCAGTAACAGCTCCACCAGACATTGTTTGGTGTGATGTGGATTCTTTGGGTTTGTTTCTTGGTTCGGGGTTGTTTTTTTCCCCAAAAGCAGCTGAAAGAAGAAATTGTCACTAACCACAAAACCTCATCCACCAATCCCCAATCCCAGCGAAGCATCAACATTCAGACACTGTCTCTTAGAGTTGACAGGGAACAGGCAGGCAGGGATTCCTTCCTGCAGATAGCTGTTGGGAACAGACTGGATACTCATGGCAGAAGACTCCAGTAATTACACTGCTCCCAGTGTGTGTCCTGGCTGAACACTGGCAGATTTGAGTCCAAACTGGATTGTTTTCAGGAAAGATGGTCAGACATTCTGATGCAACTAAAAATCTTCTCTCATAAGGGGAAGAGAGTCTTGCAGCAGTGGCTCCAGAACATCTCAGGGTACAAAAACCAGTTTATGGGGTCACTTACCTATTAGTGAGTTGCTATTTCTGTTGGCAGGTTTGGGAGGAGGGACGGGAGGCTGTTTGGCAGGAGCTGTGCTAGTTGTACTGGTGGGAGCAGTAGTGTTGGCACTGGCAGGAGCAGGGAGCAGAGTCCTGGGGGCTGGGGAAGGGGCAGCTGTGGAATTGACTGTCTTTGCTGCCATGGAGGCTGTGCTGAAGGTGGCAGTTCTTGCAGTGCTGCTGGCAGGTATTGGATCCTTTGCCTGTACTTCATTTGCCTCCTGGGAAGTGGAGGGAGGTCTTTTTGGAGGAAGCAGAGGTTGTCTGGGAACATGTGGCTCCTGAGGTGGTTCCAGTTCAGGCCCAGGGTGGCTGCTGGAGGAGCCTGCAAAGGAAGGCAGTTCAGTTTAAGGCACCAGAGGGCCTGCTCAGGGTGGGAAGGATCAGATGAGAATTCAAAACTGGCTACAGGAGAATGTGAAACCCTGATTTTGCACACATCTAGTTTCTTACCCTGCCTCTTCTTCGGTTCCTCCACTGGAGCAGGCTTCCTAAGGCTGGATGGCTTTGTGGCCTCCTCCTCCTGGCTGGGCAGGTTACAGACCCCAGGGCCCCCAATGGGGACAGTGTGGCCATTCTTCAGTGCAGGTGGGTTCAGCTTCTCTGGCTCTTCACCATCTGCAAGGGGATGGGAGGACAGAGAAGCAAAGAGAAAACACTCAGAAGGCAGGGGAGAGGAGAGGTGGCTGAGCTGACTCCACCACCATGGAGCCACACCAGCTTCCTTCTGGCTTCTGAACCAGCTGGTCCTCAGCCCCCTTCTGCACAGACCAGCACAGCAACCCAACCAGCTGGAGCTGAGAGCCCTTGTCAATGAGTAAATCACAGCTCTGTATGCTATCAAGGCTTTTTCTTCTCCCTGTCCTGCCCTTGCTCTTGTGTTACAGGTTAGTGTGTCCAGTGCTGTGCTGCAGCACAAGGAAGTTGTAACTGAAGTCATAAATCTCCAGCAGCTTTTGCATCCACGCTCCATCAGGGAGCAGTCACCAATTCCCTGCTGCAATGCAGATTCCAACACAAGCCAAGTCATCTACTGCATGTGCAATAATGGACTTTCATGAAGTCTTCACATTAGTGGAAGCACCTCTGTTTTCCTTGTTTCTACCCTGAATTTGGCACTAAAAATTGCTGCTCAGCCCAAAATATCAGCAAGGCAGATTTCTTCACTTTACCCTTGTTTTAATCAGATGTAATGACACAGCTCTAGAATTTTATGTAGCTCACTTTGACTATTTCTGCTTTTACAAATTCTAGCACGGAGGTTTCCCAGTGTTAAAAGCAAGACCTCTTTTTGGGAAAAAACCCCATCCAACCCAACCCATGCTTTTGAGGGTCCTGAAACTTCTAATCCCCATGAGGAAATATTCCACCATTCTCAGTAACTGCCCTGGCACGACAAATTTTTGACAGTATTACTCTCAAAAAAAGGTTCAGCATCCACCTCTAAGGGGAAATTGCCTATTTGGACTGATTTTCAACTCAAGAAAACTTAAATAAATACATCACCCATTTAATTAAAAATCTTTTTCAATTCAGTCTGCCATCTCTGAAGGAACTGGAGTTTGTGGCGTCCATGCTCCCCAGGTGATAGACCCCAGCACACTCTGTTGTTCTGATTTTTGAAAATTTATTCTAATGCCCTCCTAACCTTTCCTCTCCCCCTGAAGAACTACCTCTCCTTCCCTAACCTGGTGTTATTCAGAAGCTTCCCAGGATTTCTTTTCCACAAGAAGCAGCCTTGGTTCCTGTGAGGAGCTGGCACACGGCGCTGCCTCACTCACTCACTGCCCTTCCCTGAAATGCAGCAGGCACAAACAGCAACAAGAGGGAGTTTCCTCCCCAGCCAGGGCTGAAACTCAAGGGATGAGACAGAGATTTTTATGGCAGCAACTGCCTCTGGTTATCCAAAGTTTTTAGCAAGGGAGACAGGAACAGTATGATCCAGCTTTCTTCACCACTTTTCCACATCACACAAATCCCAGGCAGGTGAGTGGATGGTGATCTGATAACTTATTTTGGCAGCATGATCCCAACTTGGAGACATCAAAGATGAAAGAAAAGGGGATAAGACTTCCTAGACAGCAGTGCAAAGTTCAATAAGCCTAGTGGTCACTATGACACCATACCACGAAGCATCTCCTGGAAGATATGCCCCTACCCAAGTAGCTCAGAATTCATCCATTTCTGATTCTTCCCCCAGCCTGAGCCCCGGGGGCAGTACCATTGGAACAGCAGGAGATAGTGAGTGACAGTGTAACAGCAGAGGTATCTGGAGCAGAACACAGAGAAGGACGGGATGGGAAGTGAGCACAGCACAGCCCTCCCTCCCTGCAGGAAGGTGCCAGGCAGACACTGCACTTCCTCAGCACTATCTTCCTCCCTGAGCAGGCTGCCCTCCTCCCAGGTGGGAAAACAGACCAGAGAGAGCATTGAAAAGGGTGAGGCAGACAGGAATCACTTCAGCAGAAAGCCCTTAAATTTGTCTCCCGAGGGTGAGGTTTGGCCAGAGGAAGATCAGCCACACAGACACAGACAGAAGTTCGTTTGCAGACTCACCCTGCTCAGGCTCTTCCAACAGAACCCCTCTTTTTACCAGCTCCTCTCTTGGCTTTCGCATAGAAATCTTTCGTTCTAAAACTGATATTAAATTGAAAAAAAGCACTCAGAAAACAGGGCAAGCTTGAAGTTCAAGAAGGTTTGTTTTTGTTTTTTTTTCTTTTAAAGAGGTTCTCTAGAGGAAATAAAAAGGGCTTCAAATATCACTGGTTTTGCATGGATTAAGAGGAGAGAGAAGGAACTGCATGTTCAGACCTGCATTTCACACCGCACTGCTGATTGTGGAGCAAACCCTCCCTCCCCACAGCTGCTTGGGGAACTTCCTTGAAAGAAAGGAATTAATCTGTCTGAAACTACAGCTCCATGGCAAGGTGTTTCTGGAGAGATTGCAGGTGCCAGCCCATCACCAAAGTCCCATTTTGGTTCGTACACATGTCAGCACTCAGGCTTGTGACAGCAAGCCCTTCTCAGGTGGATGGAGGCAGGGACACCCACCCAGGCCCTGTTACTTTACCTTCTGAAGTCTCCTTGAATTTGTCACTGCTTTTCTTTTTCCTCCACTTCCAGGGTTTGAAAATCTTGCCAAAGCTTGAGAACTTGCTTTTCCTCTTTGTAGGAGGCGTGGTGTCACCTGATTCCAAAACATCTACCCCCATGCTGGCATCACTTGGGGTGTGATCCACCTCTTCAGCTGCACAGAAAAGGAAAAGAATAAAGAATTACCTCTGTGCTGCAGGTGACAGCTGCCATCTCCCACCAACCCACTCCACACTGGGAATGGTAGCACATGTTCAGGCAGGAAAGGGAACAAGACTGTCTGTGGCTCCACTGATAAACAGGGCAAAGGGAAACTGGTAAGGGCCTTCCTGATGAGACAAAGATTACAGAACCCCAGAATCATTAAGGTTGGAAAAGACCTCCAAGATTGTTGAATCCAATCTGTGAACAACGCCCACCTTGTCACCAGCCCAGAGCACTGAGTGCCATGTCCATTTCTTCCCTGGACATCTTCAGGGATGGGGACTCCCCCACTGCCCTGGACAGACTGTGACAGGGACTAATAACTCTTTAAACAAATAAATTCCTCCTGATGTCCAACCTGAACCTTCCCTGGCACAACTTGATGCTGTCTTCTGTTCTGTTCTCCAGGGGCAGAGCCTGACACCCACCTGTCTGCACCTGCCTGTCAGGGAGTTGGAGAGAGTGAGAATGTCCCCCCTGAGCCTCCTTTCCTCCAGGCTGAGCCCCCCAGTTCCCTCAGCCACACATTAATTTAATTTTGCAGTGTCACAGCTTTGTCCATGAACACAAACCACTTCCCAACATTTTCTCATCTTCATTTGGAAGCAACTGCTGCTGGACACAAGTTCATGACCACAAACACCCTCCAGCCCACCATGCTGACATCCACAACTGTCCGCACCCCGAAATCACCAGACCCATTCCAGCAGCTGCATGTGCTAGATTTTCCCCTCTCTGATTTTCCTTCTATAAATAAGGGCAGCAAAGCTGGCCAAGAGCAACAACTCCACAGGAAAGCGACACAATACAGGCCTGTGCTCCACCTACTGCACAGGAGTCTCTGGAGAGCAGCACAAGAGGGACACGGAGTGAAAAAAACCCCACCCCCAACTCAAAAACCCCCACTTCTGAAGCAGAACCAGAGCACAAAATACTAATTTGGGGACTATTTATCCTGCCTTGCCTGATGTTGCTGGTTTGGGGTATTTGATGGAACACAGAGAAGCACTTACAATGAGCAGAATCTAGCACTGCCAGCAAAAAAACAAATCAGTGTGCACAAGCTAAGCGAAGCCATCTGGTGCCCACTCCATGGCAGGATTTCCAGAGCCAGAATCCCTCAGCTTCAGCACTAGAGACAGGAGCACTGCAGAGCTCCATGGAAAAAATCCAATGGAGAAGAGAGACGTGCTGCAGCCCCACCATGCCCAGCAGGCTGGAGAGTCCTCACACAAACTGCACCCAGGTGTCTTCTTTTGGAGCCTCCAAGTCACACACTGTGGAGCTCGGGAGCACAACAGACCTTTTCGTCAACTTCAGACAAGCCTGCAAGTGCAATATGCCTGCAGAACAGGCAATGCCCCGTAAGTAACAGGAAAATTCAGCCAAGAATCCCATCTCCTGAGACTAAGAGATTAGGAAAAAAATTAGGAGAAAGCCTCCTCACACATATAGGACAAAGAGGTAATAATGTATCTTCTGTATCCCACAAACCTCCACTGTGGATACAGGCCCTGATGTGAAAATGCAGATACCTGTCAGCACAGGGAAGAACATGTTCAGGACAGAGGGGGGGAAAAAACCCACCAAAAAAATTTCATTGTTTGATGCAGCTCTACCTGCAACCCTGCAGTGCCTCCCAGCAGGAGAGCTCAGATTCCAGAAAGTGAGAAAGGTATCCACAGCCATGGGCTCCTGAGTAGCCACGGGGCTGGGGACAGGCCAGCACTCTGTCACTGCAGGACAGACAGACCCCACTTTTCCAGTCTGAGCACAAATGGAATGGAAGATCCCAAACACAGAGGGAAACTGGAGTGTCTGAGCCAGTGTTTGCCTGTTGGTTGTACTTTTGTTTAAATCAGCCCCATAACAGAAAGTCCCTCACTCTGAACCAATCAAAAGCTGATGTCAGCCAACATTTGTTTGAAAAAGCAAGATCAATTCAGCATCTGAGATGCTTTTAAATAAAAAAAAAACCTAAAAAAACAAAACAAAACAACCCCCCCCCCCCAAAAAAAAAACCAAAAAAACCCAAAAAAAACCCCCAACAACCTTGATTTTATAACAGGAGAGAAATTGGGTGGAAAATAACATACATCATGGCAGCAACTGATCTGTGATTTTCTGCAGGGATGGAGGGAGGGCGGGTGGAAGTGGGGGGGGTGGGCAGGGGAGGGCAGAAAGGCATTTCAAGCTCCCAGAAACCCAAGAGGAATTGTCTGCATGTTTAGAAGTACTTCCTTCAGAGACCAGAGCGTTAGCCCTGGAGTTGTACATGCAATTTTAAGAAGCAGTATTCACTGTGCTCAACAGAGCATTCCCAAACTTCACCAGGCAGGCATGAGCGCTTGCCAAGCACAGGCTATAGAGGGAATTTGAAGCCCAAGTGTCACCAAAGGCATTTCCCTCACCTTTCCAAGGAGAACAGTGCTGAAGGCAGCAGTACCAAGCTTGCCTTATATCTACTCTTCCCTGAGTTGCTCTGAGGAATGTCACTAATGTGCTGCCTACCTCCCAAGATGTCAGAGTGCAGCGCTAAGCGAAATAAGTTATTAAAAGAAAACTCAACCATCAGCCCCAGGGATTAATGAAGAGCGCTCGGCACGGTGGAATGTCTCCATTTCCAGATAGAAGGAGAATGACAAGCATTCCCCTGCCACAGTCCCCTCGGAACAGCCAGTGAGGAGCACAGGACATGAAAGGACCAGCCAAAACTGCAGGAGACACACGGTACCTCCAAAGGAGGAGAGCTAAGAGCAGAGAGGGTGGGGAGAACCCACATGTGGCTGCTCCTGCCAGAACCTCTTCCAGCAGCTCCTGCAGCCCAGGCCCAGCTGTCAAAGCAAATACCTTCCCAGGGTGGAGCTCACTGCCAGAGCTGCAACCACGCAGGTGAACACAGGAGCTTTCACAAGACCTTCGCATCAAGAGCAAATCACCTGGTCCTGCTTCTCTGCCTCACTGCTCCCTCGGTGTTACAGCTGCTCACAGGCTCCTGCTGAGACTCAGGTGTTGCCCAACATGGAAACACTTGGTTTTCTTGGTTTATAATCAGTTCCGTGCCCAAAAGCAGCCAGGCAAGAGGGGGAGACATGCACACTAGGACACAAAACTGTCCAAATCATTTCCACCACCCTTTTGCTCTGTGTAGAATAAAACTTGACATGTTACTAAACATTCTGAGACCATTCCAGCCCACTGCTCACACGGAAGCCAGGGAAGCAATTCCTTCCCTGATCCTCACTGGGATTCGTTCTGTCCTGTTGTGCAGATGACAGGAGAGCCTGTCCTACCCTTCCACAGCACTCTTCCTTTTCCCATCCCCAATTACCACAGGGACATTTAAAGCAGTCTGTTGTGAAGCAATTATGACACTGAGGACTAATGAGCGGGTGGATCAGCAGCTGGAGGTGAGATTTACAGATCTGCATTCAAATAACCTTATTGTTCAGTGATTGTTCATATTAGATAGTGCTCACACTCCTTCCAAAATGGACCTTCCCTTCCATTCACACCCATTTCCAGCTCAAATCTCCATGAAGTGGTGCAGAGAGGACATGTCTTCCCTGCGAAGGCAGAGAATCCACCTTGCTGAGTCTGTGCCTCCTCCTGCTCTGCTCTACAAGGTACAGGAGGGTCCTTAAGCTGCTTTGCAATGCAAGGGGGAAACCCTTCCTTATCCCAGTCATGCACTGGAAAACCGGGAAGGAACCACAGCACCATGCTAGGGGAACAAAATAGGGCAAAAAAAGAGGACCCAGACTTCGAGGGAAGGGTGGGAAGCATCAGGATTCTGATGCCTTCACCCGATCTGGCCCAGCAGCAAGGCTGTGCAAGAGACCAGCCTCAGCCTCACAGGGTGCCAGGCTGGAAAACCCACTTTAAACACATGGAAAAGGTTAAATGAGGTCACACAGTCCTGGGTGAAGCCAGCAGAGCCCTTATGAAATGGTGAAAAGATTCCCAGCTGGCAGGTCCCTAAAGTGACCCCATGCCAAAGCAGGACTTTGTTCAACCCTTCAGGAAGCAGTGGTCCCCATTTAGGAAAAGTGACCCTGGAGCTGGGACAGCCCCACAGAGCCTACCCTGGAGCTGGGCTTAATGTTCCAGCAGAGCCCTGGAGGAAAAATCAGGAGTTAAATATGTGCTGCAACTTCAGCACGTTGCCTGATGCTCCCAGAGGAGATGGCCTGCAGCACTTGGAGCTCAGAACCCAGCTGGTCCAGGACAGCATGATGCCCCAGCTGCTTCCCAGCCAGAGCCTCCTGCCACCGAGATCTGCGCTCCCAAACACTTAAGCTGTTCTGATCTCATTCTATCCAAACAAGCAGGTGAATTTGAGCTGTTTAAAACAGCAGATTTATGCTAACCCAAAATGTTTAGACTGAAATAATCTAGGGAAACGTCACAAAACTGGCACAGCCTGAACACACAAGAAGGCAGGAAGCTCCAGCAGTGCCAAGCAGCTTGGGATGCAATTCCCTATTGCTTTGCCTGGCCACCTGGTCCTTCCAACCCTCCCCTGAAGACATGTTTTTGCTCAAATCTTGCAGTTAAATTTCATGCAGAAAAAAGCTCCTTTTCCACTGCATCTTGTGGTGTTGAGTGACCCCAGTTTTTTTTGTTTTTTTTTTCCAAAACAGAGAAACCATTTCAGTGGAAGGAGCTGGAGACCCACAGTTGGTCTCTCCCACCCTCAGCAAGTGGCTGTGGTGATGTCACCTGCTCCAAAATCTCCTGTCAGGCTCGGGGCTGCCATTCCTATTAAATAGGGTGAAGCTTTCACTTCCACCACTGCTCTCAGTGGATCAACTGGCACAGCCAGCATCCATGGGGTCAGTTAAAAACCCCACACACAGTCACACCTTGGCCACACACACAGGACACCCCAGCTGGCCCTTAGGAACCCCACCTGTAAGTGTGAGCAAGGACAGTTAACCCCATCTTCAG